TCGACGGCACATAACAACAACAACAATTTAAGAATAGAAATACAAGAATAAAATCATTTTCTTGGCTGCTTCTGAGCTTTAGGTGGCAAGTAGAGAAGGTCTAACTTCACTGTGGTATATTTCTACTTATTAAATGCTCTTGAGGTGTCTGAGACTCATAGTGACCATATGTCCAACAGCTTGGAAGCCTGCCCTGTCTTGAGCCAGTCTCACTGACTCCGACACCCACCAGTTGTTGTATCACTGCATCTCACCTGGGGTCTTCCTGTCCTGTGCTGTGCGTCCACCCTTCTGACCATGATATCCTCCTCCAAGGACCAGTCCCTCCTGTCCATGTGCCCAAAGTACGTGAGATGGAGTTTCAAAACCCTAGCCTCCAAGGAGAGATTTGGTTTCAGCCTCTCCAAGACAGACCTATAAGACCTGTAAATCCATTGTTGTACAATGCAAACTTAATATGATTTCTACTGATATATATTTGACAAAGTGTGTCTTATGGTCCAAGGATCCCGAATTAAGTGTCAAGCAGAATACTCTCGAGACAGGTTCGTTAGGAAAGATGTATCATTGGAAACCCTGTGAGGCAGTTGTCCTCTGTCCTACAGGGCTGACAGGATTTGGAATCAAGTCAGTGGTAATGAGTTTGGTTTCCTGTTCTGGTTTTTATGGCTCCAAGTGTGGTTTTTTTTCTTTTGAACCTGAGAAGAATAGTTATTTTTCTAAAATTAATGGAATGCTTTATAAATATTAATTAGATTTTATTGATTGAGTTGTCAAATTATCTAACTAAAATTGTGGATTTGTCTGTTTTTTCCTTGCATTTCTATCTGGTTTTATTACATCTATTTGCTGCTTTCTTCTTAAGCATATGCAAACTTAAAATTGTTACTTCTTGAAGAATTGATTCTTTATCCTAATGCAATGCCTATTTAGAGTATATGGAGGTAACACGTTGGAACCCTGTTGAATTTTTGTTGTTTACTATTGAGTTGAAACTGATCCAGAGCTGGCCCTCTAATGGGTTTTCAGATGCAGTTACTTATACGGGAAGAGACTGACCACTCTTCTTCCTCAGGATTCAAATAGCCTGCCTTCAATATTGTAGAGCAGCTTCTTACCATGGGTAAGGAATTATGCTACCATGCAGAAGTATCCCAGCTTCTTCCTGAGAGAAAAATGGCAGTGACCTCCTAGATAATTTACAGCCGCTGAAAACCCATGGGGGTGCGGGGTCAGCTATAAATAAGGTCTGACTTGACAGTACACAACAAGACCATTGCTAGCCAAAAGGTTAACTGTGAACCCACGTAGTTGTACACTGGAAGAAGGCCTCCCAATCTTCTCTTACATTTGCAAAACAAAATTTCTTGGTTCTGTAGTTCTACTCCATGATATTTGGATTCACCATGATTTCTAACTGACTATATCAATGGATTCTATTTGGGTTTTCTTGCTTAATTCCCTTTTATCCTTGATAATTGTCTTTACTCTCTAAACTCAGCTTAGTCTGAAATTAATATAACCATTCCAGCTTTTTTTTTTGCCTTGGTCAAAGCCTCTACCCCCCCCCCATCTCACCTTCTCCCCTCAAATAGCCAGCCATCTGAAAGCTCAACCACCAGCCAGAGGCAAAGGGAACCCTGCCTGGCCTCCCATGGCCTCCCACCACCACCTACCTACAACTTAGAGATCTGCCTCGCACAGATGTGTCCTAGTGGAAAAATAGGAAGTGTTAGCAGAGGTCTCAAGTGGGGACCAAGACTGCAACTTCCACTGGGTTTGGCCTTCAAAAGGCAACTGGGAGTCCTGGGGGCAGGGGCAAGGGCCAACCTGGGGTCAGATCCAGGGCAGACTAGCCATCTGGATTCCAGGCTCTCTTGGCTCCCACCTGGGCCACCATCAACAGTGGTCCCCTCATGCAGGGGTCTTAGGATGCACCCTCCACCTACTTCCTCTTGCTCTCAAGGCCTCTGGACCATGTGCCTTACATGCCTCCCTGTCCACACTGCCTAGGCCAGACTTTCTATGTTCAGCTTTCTTTTTTGTTAGTGCTAGTGCAGTACAGGGAGTGCTGGTGTCCTAGTGGTAAGGAGTTGTGCTGCCATACCAAAGGCATGTGATTGAAATCCACCAGCAGCTCCATGGGAGAAGGCTGGAAAATCTGCCATGATTTACTGCCTCTAAAAACCCACTGGAGAGTCAGTTATTAATTGCTTAAAAGTCAAAGGTACACAATAGTGTAAGGAGTTGTACTGCCACCCCAAAGGTGAGCAGTTCAAATTCATTAGTATCTCCTTGGAAGAAAGATGAGCTATGTCCTCCTATGCAGTTTAAAGCCCCTGAAAATCCACTGGGAGACCAAGTGAGATCCATCCTTGGAGAAGGAGGATATCATGGTCAGAAGGGTGGAGAGAAAGCACAGGAGAGGAAGACCATGGATGAGATGGATTAACACAGTAACTGGGGTAATGGGCGTAGGTGTATTAGAGTCCGTGAGACTGGCACAGGAAAGGACAGGCATCAGAGCTGCTATACAGAGGGTTGCTGTGAGTCACATTTACTTGATGGTGTATAACAGCAATAATATCTTGTATTTACTATTTTAAACTTTCATCTGTTTTATCAGTTATTAATAAGATTGTATGAAACACAATGTGAGTGAAGGAATACGTGAAACACAATGTATACAAATTTATATGCAAACTAATATAAAATTTTTAAGAAGAAAAAAAGGAATAAGAATATGTGCATTCATTGTTAGGTGCCGTTGAGTTATTACTGATTTGTACAACAGAAAGGAGCACTGTCTGCTCCTGTGTCCTCCTCACAGTCATGGCTGCGTTTAAATTTCTCACTGGGGCTGCTTTGTCAGTCAATCTTGTTGGCTGGCCTTTCGTGCCTTACCGAGTCCTTCAAGCCCCTGTTTTTCATCCACAAAATAGAAGTTATGTCAACTGCTACTGAAGAGGATACTGGATGAATAAAAGAAAAGATACTTAACATAGAAGCTGGTACTTCGTAAGCACTGAAATTCTTAGTTATATCTTAATGATTATGCTGAAGACAGTTGTGGAGCTGCCTGACTGAAGACACAGAACATCCTCTGCTGGTTTTGCCATCCCTTAGCTCACTAACAACTATAATCTCGCTAAGGCGGATTTCATTTAAAATTGACTCTTCATTGACCATGCATCTACCTGAAAACTGGAGTTGGTGATTCAGTCATAGGTGGTGGTGGTGGTTGTTCCATATCATCAAATTGCCTGTGACTCATAGTGACCCTGTGTACATTAGCTCTGAACCCTGCCTTATCCTGAGCCAATCTCAACATCTCTAAGAAACCGAATCCCACTTTTCCACTGAATCCATCTTATCCAGTGTCTTCCTTTCCTGTGCTGTCCCTCCACTCTTCCAAGCGTGATGTCCATAAGGAATGATCCTTTCTGGTCATGTGTCCAATATGTGAGATGGAGCTTAAAATCTTTGCCTCCAGGGAGCAGCTTGGTTTCAATCTCACTAGGACATATCTCCTGGCAGTCCATGGTATGTTCAACACTCTTCTCCAGCACCACAAATCAAAGACATCAATTATTCTGTCATCTTTAGTTATTGTCCAGCTCCCTGACACGTAGCAAATAATTGTGAAGACTATGCCTGTATCGCTCACAGCTTAGTCTCCAGACTGACATGGTTGGTCTTCAGTACCCTAGAGAGGTCCCTGAAAGCAGACTTTCACAGTGCAGTTAATCTTTTATTTTCCTGACTGCTGGTGCCAGGAGTGTTGATTTTGGAACCAAGCAAGTTGAAGTTGTTAACAGTCCTGATCTCTTCATCTGTCATGAACCTGCCAGTTGGCCTAGTAGTGGGGATCTTTGTTTTCTTGATGTTGACCTTCAATCCATATAGAAGCATCCAGTCCTTAACCTCCTGCAGCAAAGACCCCATATCTTCCTTGGTTTTAACAAGCAAGAATGTATCATCTGCATAACACAGGTTGTTGATCATGAGTCTTCCTCCAATACTGATACAACATTCTTCCTCATAAAGTCCAGCCTCCCAAATGATCTGTTCTGCATATAGATTGAAAAGTTATGGAGATAGGATGCACAGCCTTCCTCATCCTGAACCGTGCAGTGTTTCCCTGCTCTCTTCGGACTACTGCTTATTGGTCCAAATATAGGTTTTGCATGAGCACAGTTAAGGTCTCTTTGATTCCTATTCTTCTTAAGGTTATCAACAATTTGTTGTGATCCACACAAATTTCTTTGAATAATGTCATTGAAACAGAGATTGACCTTCTTCTGGTATTCTCCACTTTTAGCCAAGATCCATCTAACATTTTCTGTGATATTCCTAGTACCATGGTCTCTTCTTAATTTGGCTTGCATGTTTATTAGTTCTCTCCTGATGTAGTCATTTTTTGATCTTCAGCAATATCTTGCTTGTGTGCAATATTTGAATATCATTCTTTTTACATTGCCATCATTATTGTAATTAATATTTGATTGACAAGAAAGGCCATCCAGTCTGATAACAGACAAATCATCACTAATGTTTTTCTTTCCAGACATGCCAACAGTGCTCCACAAAATTCTAACCTTTTCATTTGATTCTCTTTAGGGTTTGATGCCTACTTTACGTCCCGAACACTTGAAAACAATAGAAGAAATGTGTGGTTTGCTGAGTACTGGGAAGAGAATTTCAACTGCAAGTTGACAATTAGTGGGTCAAAGAAAGAAGACACAGATCGCAAATGCACAGGTAATTTCATTCCTTTGTCCTCCCGTTACTCTCTCTGTCCAGCATGGAAATGTCTGCAAGCTAACAGAAGGAAGCTTTGCTGGAGACAAATTGAAAAAATAAATTGGATTCTACTAGATTGTTAAAAAAAAAAAAGAACAGGAACATAAGTATTGCAGGGCTAGAGAAATGCAGGTATAAAAGCATTCTTTTTGCCTGTCCATCTAGCAGTAATTAACACTTTCTTTGCTCTTTTGAAGGCTAAGCTTGCAGGTTGCTTGAAGTGCTCATGCTGTTAAGTATTGGTTCAAATCCCAGCCAGGAGTATGAAATCAGTTTTGCATAGATAAACCTCTGACGAATCCCGTACCATCATTTGTTTTAATTGTTACCATGAACAGTATAATAAACTAATGAAACAAAGTGCTTGGGTTTTGAATGATAAGAATTCCAAATGATTTTTTATAACTATTTAAAATACGCTTAAAAATAATCACTGAGCTACAAATGCAACTTCTTAGGAGTATTCCAAATCAAATAAATGTGAGCGATTGAGATATGCATGTGTCCATTTATACATCAAAGTCATCAGAAGGGAAACATCCATCCACTTATTTACTTCCTAATGTTACGGCTGCTTTCTGGTTACCACTGAACTAAGCTCAAGTGCTATGATGGGCAGGGAGTCAGGGAAGGACCTGCTTTCATGCTGCTTAGAATGCAGTGGAGGAAACCAGTACTGCAGTTGGTCAGCACTGGAGTTCATGAGCACTTTGTAACACTAAGGGGCACCTATAATATTCTTTTGAATTTAAAAATAGCTGAATTACCTTCATACCAAATCTTTTCCTATCCTTACCCTATCCTGAGACCTAGACTCTTTCTTCCTGCCTTTGATAAAAGTGACCCGATTTTCATGTCCATAATGGACTTCATTGCTGTAACCTTTTCTGACAGTGGGTTATCCAACCTACTAACCCTCCCAGAAAGGAGCTCTAATGACTTTTCTCATGGAGATACTGCTAGCTATACAACTAGTGAAGCCAGACCTTCTGGACAGTTCATTACAGACACACAAATGAATTTAGTGGGAAATTGCTTTGTGAACATTGTTTTGGTGAGATAGCAAAATGATAGAAAGAATAAAATAAACATAAATTATATTATGTATTGGATAAAACAGACTGAACAATCTTGAAATCAGGAAAATCACTGCTCTAAAGAAACGTGAGTTTGGGCTAGTGAGAGTCTATGCCCCAAGGCCACCCTAACTACCCTTGAGTGAATTTGGATTCCATCCATATCTTCTCAAAGTTCTTTATCATGTTTGAAATGAAGATAGTAAAGCTTTAATCACATGCAAAGGAGATGTAGTGATTAAGTTGGATAATTAAAATAGAAAATATAAAATGACCCTGTCACAAATTAATAATTCAGCAAAATCAAAGCAGACCAAAAAACAAACAACAAAAGAGAGAAAGAGAAACTCAGGTGCTTAGCTGGTGCTGATTCTAATTCATGCTGAGCCCCTGTGCATCAAGGTAGACCTGTGCTTCATAGGATTTCTGGTGACTAATTATTGGAAGTATGTTCCGACATATGCAAGTCTTCCTTCAGAAGTAGCTCTGGTGAATCAAACCTCTGACCTCTGGTTAGCAGCTGAGTTCACAGACTGAGCCACCCTGGAAATCCAATGGCTCTGTAGTGCTAACAATTACCTACTTCTTTGGGCTAAATGTCTGTGAGGATTTTGTGAAAATCCTATTGTCTTGTGTCAGGTCTGAGGGAAAGGAAGAAAGGTGCTTAAGTATAAATATGAATTTTCACTTATTTTTTATTGTTGTTAAGTGCCATTGAGTCGTAGCGACTCATGGCGACCCTGTGAACAGAAGTCCTGGACACTTGCATGACTTTCATCCTTTCTCCAGGTTCATAGCATTTCCGTAGGCAAGCTATTTGGGAAGTGGATGCCACTCCTGCTTCCAAACTTGTTTCAACCGGGGAGCGCCACCAAACACTGTGCACCATGGGTAACCGTTATCGCATTTGACACATCAGTGTCATAGTGTTCTGCTTCACAACAACCACAAGTTATCTCTGTACAGCAAGTGTTAATGTGTTACAGTATCCAAAAGTGTGTAAATGAGCCACATGCTGGCTTTAACAGTCAGTGGAACAGGAAGTATAAGGCTTGAGGACTGTCAGCATTGGTTCAAGTCTCTTGTTCATAGGGTCTCTAGAAGTCATAGCCAAAATTGAGGCATTTAACAACAGCAGCAACCCAAAGAGTCTTCTTAACCATTATTGGACTTTGCATTTACTCAGAATCTCCCATCTCAAATCTTAGGCTATCATTTCCCTGGTGAGATAGATCTTGAAAGGTTAGTCACATTCCCAAGCTGTTACCTAGCAAGTCTACTCTTGAAATTCAGAAGAAGCTTCTGTGCATCTGACTGAGTTTCCTATGGCAGTCCATAAAGATCCTTCTCTAACACATCTTATGTTCTAAGCCCAACTTTTGCCCAGCTAACATTACTATTCTGACAAATATTGCTTGATTTATGAAACACTGAACCATCAGAATTTGCTCCTTGTGGAAAAAGAGCCCAGCATAAAGAACATTCTCTGCCAAGCCAAATGTCTACATTTTGGAAGGTCAGAATTTTTTAATCTAGTCTTCTGAAAACAAATTATCCCAGTAAAGGAAATTTTCTCTTTTTATCAACAATCTGCGTTATGCAGATGACACAACCTTGCTCGCTGAAACTGAGGAGGACCTCATGCACTTACTGCAGAGGGTCAAGGACTGCAGCCTTCAATATGGACTGAGGCTCAGTGTTAAGAAGACAAAAATTCTCACCACTGGACCAATCGGTAGCATCAGGATGGATGGCCAAGAGATTGAGATTGTTCACAGCTTCAGTTTGCTCGGCTCCACGGTCAACACTCTTGGCAACCAGTAGCCAGGAAATAAAAAAACGTATTGCGATGGGAAAGTCGGCGGTTAGGGACCTCTCCAAAATACTGAAGAGCAACAGTGTCTCTCTGGAGACTAAGGTCCATCTGATACAGGCCATGGTTTTTGCATCACCTGTTATGCATCAGAGAGTTGGACAGTGACTAGGGAGGATAGAAGGAGAATTGACGCCTTTGAGCTGTGGTGCTGGACAAGAGTATTGAATGTACCATGGACTGCCAAGAAAACAAACAGATTCATCGTAGAGAGGATTAAACCAGGCTGCTCCTTGGAGGCAAGGATTCTGGGGCTTCATCTGACATACTTTGGACATGTTGTAAGGAGCGACAGGTCTTTGGAGAGGGACATCATGCTGGGTAGAGTGGAGGGACAGTGCAGGAGGGAAAGACCCTCTATGAAGTGGATTGATTCAGTGACTGGGGTACTCGGGATGGGTTTGTCAGAGGCAATGAGATTGGCACAGGATAGAGCACGGTTTAGGGCTGTTGCACATAGGGTCGCTATGAGTCGCAAACAACTCGACAGCACATAACAACAACAACAACAACAACATTATTTTATTGTGCAAATATGTATGACACAATTTTTTTCCAATTCATCATTTTTTAATTTCAATGTCATTGATTTGTCATATTATGAACCACTTATGATTATTTCCAAGTTAGTCTAAAATACGTTCTTTTGTCAATGTGCCTATAAAATCTGCTGATAACTTGTTCGTGCTATTTTGGTTACTGCCTTTGTGTAGTGGGTTTTGAGATCGGGGAGAGCTGTGATTCCCATTTCATTTTTCTACACTGTTGGTAACAGCAGCCAGGAAATCAGGACATGAATTGCATTGGGAAAGTCAGCTGTGAGGGATCTCACAAGAATACTGAAGAGCAATGACATCAGGCTGGAGACTAAGGTGTGCCTGATCCAGGCTATAGTCTTCACAATTACGTGCTATGCATCAGAGAGTTAGATAGTCAATAGGGATGATAGAAAGAGAATTGATGCCTTTGAGCTGTGGGGCGGGAGAAGAGTGTTGAATATACCATGGACTGCTAGGAGAACAAACAGGTTTGTCCTGGAGAGGGTGAAGCGAAGCCGGAGTGTTCCTTGGAGTCAAGGATTCTGAAGCTTTGTCTGACATACCTTGAGCATGTTGAAAGGAGGAACTGGTCCTTGGAGAGGGATATAGTGTTTGGGAGAGTAGATGGACGGCGCAGGAGAGGAAGACTCGATGAACTGGATCGATTCTGTGACTGGAGTGGTGGGAATGAGTGTGCTTGAGATGGCAAGGTTGGCATAGGATAGAACGGCGTTTAGGGCTCTTGAACATAGGTTTGCTATGAGTCTCAAGTGACTCGATGGCACATAACAACAACAGCAGCAACACTTTGGAAGTGCTTTGCTTATTTGGGGTCTCTTTCCTCTCCAAATAAAATTGACAATTTTCCTTTCAATCTCCTGGAGAAATGAATTTATTATCTGTATTGGATTGCACTGAAAATGTAAATTGTTTTTTATTTCATTCATATGCATTATGTTTTAGATAATCTTTCATTTCCATTGTGTGTCATACAATCATTCTCATGCATTATGTTTTGTAAAACTAATCATCATCGGACCTTGCCCGTCATTACCTTTTTTTCCCACCTGGATCCTTCCCATTTGTTTCACGCCCCTCTCCACCCACCAAACTGTGCTGCCCTGTGTTTTCACTCCATCTATCCTCACTCTTCGAATCCCCCATCCCTCCCTTGAGTACCTGTACATGTTTATCCTTCCGTTTTTACAATAACGGTTTTATGCTGTATTTGTCCTTATGCTACTGCGTAAGTGCACTCAGCATAATGCTCTCCAGCCTCTTCCAAGTTACGTAGTCGTCTTCTAAATCATTGCTCTTGAATGCTGCATAGTATTCCATTGTATGAATGCACCATAATTCTTAATCTGTTTGGTTGCGATTGGACATTTGGATTGTTTCCATGTTCATATGTGGGAGATTAATGCTGCTTTGAACACTGGTGTAAAAACTCGATTTGTGTCTCAGTTCTAATTTACTTGTGGTATATTCCTAGTAGTGGAATAGTGGGGTCATATAAGTTTCTATGCTTAGCTTCTTTAGGAAATGCAGACTGTCTTCCAGAGTGGTTCTAACATTTAAAAATCCCATCAACAGTATATGAGAATTCCTATCTCTCCACATCTTCTCTGACATTTATTGCTTACTGTCCTACTAAACTTTGCCACTGCTACTGGAGTAAGGTGGTATCTCATTGCTGTTTTGACTTGCATCTCTCTTATTGCTAGTGATTTGAGCATTTCTTCATGTGTCTGTTGGCCACCCAATATCATCTTCTGGGAAAAGTCTTTCTATGTCTTTTGCCTGTTTTGTAGTTGGATTATCAGTCTTTGTCTTCTGGGGGCCCAGGAGTATTTTGTAAACTTTTGTCATGAGACTTGTCTGAAATGGTATTGTCAAATGTTTGTTCCCAGTTGATAGGCTTTGTTTTTACCCTGTTGGGAAAAGGTTTTGATGAGAACAGAGATTTAAACCTCAGAAGATCCCATTCATCAATTTTATCCTCTCCAGATTTGCATTTATGGCTATATTTGTTGACCTCTTCATACCATAGGTTAAGCCTTCCAAGGTTGGTCCCATTTTGTCACTTATGAACTTTAGGGTTTGGGGCTTTACTCCCAGGTCTCTTCTGCTGGCAAAGAGTATTATATATACTAAGGATTATCAAAAGAGTAATAAAATTGTCCTGAAGGAAGTACAACCATAATGCTCCTTAGAGCCAAGGATGGTAAAACCTTGTCTCATTTATTTTGTCCTCACTTATATTTTCAAGAGAAACTGATCCATAGAAATAAACACCGTACTAGGAAAGATAGAAGGTCAGCAAAAGAAAGGAAGATAAATTGACACATTGACCGTCACAGTGGGCATGAGGAAGGTACAGGAGAGGGGAAGGTTAAGCTCTGTTCTTCATAGTGTCTCTCTGAATTGTAGTTGATTTGTTGCTAATAGCAACAATATTTTTTTTGTTTTATGTAAAAATAATTTTCATTTTGAAAGATAAAGTAACAGAGTATTTTATCATCTTCACTTGAATAACTTGATTGAGATTCATGGAAGCAACAATGAGTAGAGGTTTCAGCTTCCTAAGAAACCATTTCAAGAAAAAGATCACACATATCAGGGTTTGATGTGCTGATAATTTCTTTCCAGTTTTGTCAATCATCATCATCTGCTCACTTGAATTCAATTCCATTCCCATCTATCTGAGTTGAAAATTTGTAATTTTTTTTCTGTGTTTTGCAGATAGAGCTTGCTCGTCATTTTATTTCCCTTCATGGGCATTCAGTCACTTTTCATCCCTCACTAAACACATACACAGGACAAAGAAAACATTTTTAGATTAAAAAAAAAAGGAGAGGCAAGATGTATAGTGAATTTTGGATCTTTATTTGGATAAATTATAATGAAAAGAAAATATATTTATGACATAAGTGAAAGTTTGTTCATGAGCTTTATATTTGATAAAAAGAGACTGCTGTGGATTTTTTTGTTATACAGTCTTACAAGATTTTGATGCATTTTGTCTTGTAGGTGATAGAGACACTGAAGGATTTAGAGTATGAAGATGAGGCGATTATCTGCATAGACTGAAAAAATTAATCTGTAATGATGGATGGGCAAATAAACATTTAGCATTATAGTTATCTCTACAGATGATGAGAAAGATATGCAAAGAATAGTTGTCAGTAATTGAAATTCTTCACTGTTTCAGAGGGAGAATGGATAGAACTCAGCTATTCATTGGACTTAGGAAGCTCTGATGATCTAGTGGCAAGGGATTGTGCTGTCAACCCAAGAGCGTGTGTTTGAAAGAGATCATCTCCATTAGAGAAAGATGAACAGTCTCTTCTCATGCAGTTTACAACCTCTGAGAATCTGCTGGAGGGTAAGCCATCAGTCATTCCCACCTAGATGGCTCTGACAGCCTAGTGATAAGAAGCTACCCTGTAATCGAAAAGGCAAGTCATTTGAATCCACCAGCGGCTCTGCTGGAGAAGAAAAGATTATTTTCTCCTCTATGATTTACTGCCTCTGAACACCCACTTGAGGATCAGCTATGAAATGGTTCTAACGTGATGGCATGCAGCAACAATAACGTGTGAGCATAGGAGTAAGATAAAGCAAAGCACCAGTAGCTATTAAAACTACTTTGTGTAGGAAGGAAAAAATGTACATGTAGAGTTTGAATCCTTGAAGCATGAACATTGTTTAAATATGTTAATACTAATGTAGACATTCTATTCAGCACCAGTCTTGTGTGTGTGTGTTTTTAATATGCAGGGCAAGAGAGAATTGGGAAAGATTCCAACTATGAACAAGAGGGGAAGGTTCAATTTGTGATTGATGCGGTCTATGCCATGGCTCACGCCCTTCATCACATGAACAAGGATCTCTGTGCTGACTACCGTGGGATCTGTCCAGAGATGGAGCAAGCTGGGGGCAAGAAGTTGTTGAAGTATATTCGCAATGTAAACTTCAATGGTGAGTCTTTTCATCTTCATGACTTATGGTATCTTTAACATTTGTATTCTGTATATTTTAAGTTATATGGTTACACTGTGGTTCAGTTGATGTTCTTTATTATGTGGCAAAACCCCAGTCTATTATGTAATTTTGAATGAGTTAATGAACTCAGAAGTAAGTGAATGCCTGAATAACAAGAACAAAAATTTTTGCTCTGTGTTTCTTGAAATAGCAAAATCTTTGGACAAAGCCACATTCTTCTTTGGTAGATATAAGTGGAGGTGGAAGGAGAGAACAGGAAGGTGAAAGAACGGTTGGTCTAGGTTTTAGGCAACCAAGTTATTTGCAGTAATAGTTGTAATTTGCCACAACTATCATTTATCTAATTGTAAACAAATTTTATAAAATAAGAAACATAATAGAAATAATTTCTCTGAAGAAGAGAAAAATGTATAAGAATGGGTGGAAATTAGGTATTTCTTTAGAAGGAAAGAAGAGAAAAATGTATAAGAATGGGTGGAAATTAGGTATTTCTTTAGAAGGAATGTCAATATTTATATATCCCGTCTCTTCCCTAACAATGTTCAATTGTTAACAATTCATAGTTATCACAATCCACGTTCTAATCACCAGGGTCTTTTTGCAACTGTTCCTCCTCCTCTGTGATTCCCAATACAAAGGCTCAGCCTCTTGTGGCATATCTGCTAGTTTAATCTAAGGGTGTTCTGTGTACGTAGGTTTTTCAAAGGTCTGTTACTTTGGAAATGGATGGCAAATCCTTCTCCCTAGTCTGTCTTAATTTGGGTGCTTAGCTTTAGAGCAGTATTTGAGGAGAAGCATTTTACTCAAAAGAGCTGATGAAAGTATGGAGGTAACAGATCAGATGTTGGTCCCAGGAGCTCATCTCTTAAGTGCTTGCTTTGTGTGGCCAACCTTATCCTGTCTTGCCAGCATCCAGCTCAATTCCCTTTCCTTGCCCCTCTCAGCATCTCTAATCCCTTGGCCCCAACTCTGGCTCATAGCTCAGGCTTCCCACCAACATCTGTCTTCTCATTTCCTCTACACTCCCCTGTGATAGTCATGCTCCTGACAGAGGAGAAGGAGAGAAGTCTCCATGTAGTGGGTGTCTACACACTACTGGAACAGCATGTCAGCAGAGAATTGTCAGATATGCAGGCTGGGTTTAGAAGAGGCATTATGTCTCTCTAGAAATTATAGTCAATGTTAGATGTATCTTAGCTGAAAGCAGAGAGCACCAGAAGAATGTCTGTCTGTGTTTCATTGATTAGACAAAAAAGGCATTTTACTGTGTGGATCACAACAAATGGTGGCTAATTCTAAACAGAATGGGAATCCCAGAAGACTTGATTGTGCTTATGAAAAAACTGTACTTGAATCAGAAGGCAGATGTCAGAAAAGAGCAAGAAATCACTTCATGGTGCAAAATCAGGAAAGGTGTACACCAAGGATGCATCCTATTTGCATTTCTTTTCAGTCTTTATGCAAAACAGATCCTTTGGGAAGCTGGGCTCTATGAGGAAGAATGTGGCATCAGGATTGGAAGATGATTCACCAACAACTTGTGTTATGCAGATGACACAACCTTGCTTGCCAAAACTGAGGAGGACTTGAGGCATTTGTTGCAGAAGATCAAGGACTTCAGCCTTCCTTATGGATTGAAGCTCAGCCTCAAGAAAACACCCTGAGAAAATGAGACCTGAGGCACAGAGATTTGTACATCAGTGTTCATAGCAGCTTTATTTACCATCACAAGAACTTGGGAAAAGCCCTAATGTCCAACCACAAATGAATGGATTGAAAAAATTATGGTACATTCACACAATGAAATACTTTGCAGCATGCAAGCAGGGATTTTGAAGCTTCATCTTCCATACTTTGGACATGTTACCAGAAGGGACCATTCCTTAGAGACAGATATCGTGCTTGAAAAGGTGGAGGGAAAGAGCAGGAGACAAAGACCCTGAATGAGATGGATTGACACAGTAGCTGAGATAATGGGGAAAGGTTTGCTGAAGACAGTGAGATAGGCTCAGCGTAGGGCCGGATTCTGAGCTGTTGTAGATAGGGTTGCTATGATTTTCAGTGAATGCGATGACACATAACAACAATATTCCCTTATACTATTCTGAAAAATGCTTCTTAGTCTACATTTAAGTTTTTCATGTCTTTGTTGTTATGTGCTGTTGAGTTACCTGTGACCCATAGCGACCTTATGCTCATCAGCTCTTATGCCAGTCTCACTGATTCCAACACCCCTAACCCCATTTACCACACCTGATCTTAGCCAAAAGGCCGAGAAGCAATATCACTCCATCTCATCTGGGGTCTTCCTCTCCTGCACCGTCACTCCACCTTTGTGAGCATAATGTCCTTGTCCAAGGACCCTTCCTGCTTGGCCATGTGCCCAAAGTGTGTGAAGTAGAGCTTCAAAATCCTAGTGTTCAGGGAGAAACTTCTCCAAGTCAGACTTATTTATTTTCTTGGTGGTCCATGGTATGGACTTTTCTCCAGCACCACAGCTCAAAGGCATAAATTCTTCTCCTGTCATCTTTAGCCGTTGTCCAGGTCTCTGATACGTATCAAGTAATGATGTTTTGCATGAACCCAAATATTCTGAGATTTCCATTTACTCAATGGAAATTTAATTCCCATTTACAATTTAGATGATCCACACAGTTAAATAACTGAGGATAGTAAATAAAAATCAACTAAACATTTTCTAGTATTCTCTATTTTCAGTCAAGATCCATCTGACATTAGCAATGATAGCCTTGATACAGGTTCTCTTCAGAATCCATCTTACTTTTCTGGGGATCTTCTTTTGGTGTACTCTTCCTAATCTTCAGTGAGACTCTATTTACATGTGATAATAATGATGTTGTTCAATAATTTTCACATTATGTTGGATCACCTTTTCATGGGATAGGGACAAATACAGAACTCTTTCAGTTAGTTGGGCAAATGGTTAGTTGCCTTTCAAATTTGTTGTCAGATAGACTGATGAAAGCACATCCAGAGCAGCATTTGTTTGTTTAAATAATCTATTCAAATCTTGGGACCTTTTGCTACATCTTTTTTTGTTGGAACACTTCAATTTGTATTCTGTCTATTCCTGGGACTTTCCCCATGCCACCTCACCTCTCTCTACCCCCACTAATACTTGAACTTCTTCTTTTATTACTGTTGGTCCTTGATCATAAACTACTTTGTAAAATGGTTCCATGTCAATCAATTATTTTTGGTACAGTGATTATGTTGTGTCTCTTCCATCTTCTTGTATGCTGCTTGCATCATGTATTATTTTGTCCATAGAATCTTTCAGTATTCCTTGAAGCATTCAGTTAAACAAGTCAAGGCTTGAATTTCTTAAGATCTTTTAGCCTGAGAAATACTGAGCTTGTTCATCTCTTTTGTACATGTTGTTAAAATACTTTGTGTTTTTTTAAATTTTTTAATTTAAATTTATTATTAATTTCAGTAAAAATTTACAGAGACTTTGAATTTTCATTCATTCATTGTTGCACTTCTCTCTCCTCCCAACCCTCCCCCTAGTATACTACCCTCTTGGAAAAGTAAAATTCTTTCATTGTTTTACAAACCCTCCCCCAGGCCCACTCCACCATGTATCCTTCACTCTAGACTCCTGTCATGACAAAAATACCTAATCACGTATCCCTTTTAAACCGTTTTCTTCCTCATCTGTTTCAATGCAGCATATACATTATTGAACCCATCTTTCTCAGTCTCTCCCCACCCCCAAGGTCAGTCCTGTTTTATAACAGTGACACCATGCAGGGTTTGTCCTTTTGTGACTGAGATACTGCACTCAGAAGAAAAAAAAATACTTTTTCTTTTTGAACTGCTCTATGAAATGTTATACTCAGCTCTTATTACAGCATTTCTTTCCTTTGTTTTGGCTTCTTTGTATTCGGTGAGAGTTTCAGAGTCTCTTTGGACATTGATTTTGGTCTTTTCTTTCTTTTCCGTTATTGTAATGACCTTTTGCCTTCTTGAATGATGTGATTCATGTCATCCTTGAACTCATCTGCTCTTTTAGTCATTAGAGTCCAATGCATCAAATATATTCATGACATGCTTTTTAATTTTAGGTGGGATAGGTTCAAGATTGTATTTTGGCTCTCAAAGACTTATTTTAATGTTGTTCACTTTCAATTTTAAATTGCATTAGTGTAATTGATAGTCTGTTTCACAGTTAGCCCTTGGCCTTGTTTTGACAGCTATAATTACCTTTTACGTTTTCTCTTTCCACAGATGTAGTCAATATGACTTTTATGTAGCCTATCAAATGAGGCCCATGTGTATAGTCATCATTAATTTTTTTAAAACTTGTTTGTAATTAATAAATAATTGATTATACAAAATTCTATAATATTTTCTCCACTCTCATTTCTGTCACCAAGGCGATATTTACTTGCAGAAAGTAGAAACCTGGAAGCACTTATTGAACAAGATTAAAGATGATAACCTTCCAATGTATATGAATTTTGTAAATAAGCCAGTATAAAATAAAAATTAAAAAACAAAATAAAGACTATAACCTTTACTTTTGACTGCATCTCAATATCGAGGGGCAGGGGGGGAATCTTCACACTCTACCAAAAGGCACTATCATGATGGCTAGATGTAGAAAAGGTTGACTCTTTCAATTATTTGACTTAATTTTACTTGTATGCACAGTCAGTTCCCATGTTGTTGTTAGCTAATGTCAAGTTATACATGACTCATAGTGACCCTATCAACAGCTGACTTGAACCCTGCCCTGTTCTGTACCAGCGTCATCATCCCTGACACGTGGGAGCCGATCATTGCTCAAGTCACCTTGTCACTCCATTTCATTGGAGGTCTTCCTCTGCTTTGTTGACCCTCCATATTTCCAAGCAGGATGTCTCTTTCTGAGGAATATTATCACCTAGCTGCACATAGTATGAAACATGCAGCTTCACCATCTTTGCCTTAAAGAATCACTCTGGCTACAA